ATAACCCAGACCGAGACGGTTGTCTGAGTAATCCAGACCTCCCCTACTGCGGGGTGGTGGAGCTATTGCTCCCTGACTAATATGACACTCCCTCCAGACCCCCCTTCCTTCCAACTGCTGCCCTCCTACTGTGGAGACTAACCGAGTGCCCAGGTATTCATTCCATGTCGAACAACCAATTGTCAAGCACAACCTTGCTTTCCTGTACTTCAGCAAGTCGCTCCTGGATCGTCCAGGTTGCGGTAAACCATAAGATCCCTGCTGCCCTCAGTCTTGAGTTTAGGACCTTCCTTCTCCAATCACTCTTGATACACCTTCTGATGTTCGCCTTGATTTCTGACTTGATAGCTTGATCCGACAGAAATCTTCCTTCGAATACAGTTTTGTTCCTGACCTCCCAGATGACCAGGAACAGAGATGCTCTCAAAGCCTGAGCCACATAACCCCAGCCCCTGTCCAGTGGTAGACTGTCCGGGACGCCTCCAAATAAGATCCAGCGGTCGTTCCATTCCATGGCTGATCCGCTAATCCGGTCCCAATGCCTTATCCACCAGTCCCAGATTCTCCGGGACAAGGGGCAGGATAGCCACAGATGTACTGTAGATTCGAATGGCCATTTGCACCGGGAGCAATGGATCTGCACCTTCATCCCTCTCTCAACTAGCCAGACCGCCGATGGGGTAGCCATCATGGACAGTAGCCATAGGATAGCCGCCGCTCTTTGCTGAGGCAGTTTCTGCAGCTGCTGCCAGCAGCGTTGTATGTCCCTTGCTATTGTAACATCTGACGTTGCGTCCACTTGAGCCCATCTGCTGATTGCCACCGAGATGGGGGTTCTACCTGTGTGAAGGAGTTGGTACCTGCCTGCTGATACGTAGTCGATTAACCAGGCTTCCTGCTTGAATTTCTCTGAGCCTCTCCAGGACCACATCTTGGGGTCCAACCTCAAATCACTGATTGGGGTTCCTTCCGCCCATAGGAAGCATTGCCATGTACCGTCTTCGCTGTAGATTTCCCTGACCCTTATCTGGGTTAGCCCCCCCAGAGGCTTACTGGGGAGGCCAGGATACTCGACTTCCTCATCTTTTAGCAGGTAGAGGCTATCTGACCCCTGCTGTCTCATCCATCTTTCGAATGATCGGGAACCATCGGTCTCTAACTTAACCAATTTCCAAAAAATATTTCCCTGGATTGCATCATTGTGTTCGGTTCTTAGGACAAACCATGTTCCTGGCGGGGACACGCCCTCTGGTAGGAGGAGGTGTTTCCAGTCCAGGGGAATAGCGGTTCTGAGGTGATTTGCTTGTTCCTCTATGTGTGCTAGGCGTCCCAGCTTTTGTCTTAGAGCTCCGCGTGGGACCCACTGTCCCAGAACCTCACTCCACAGATCTCCTACTCGTAGGACACCCCTTTCCGTCCATTGCCTCCCGAAAGCTTCCGGAGCGCTGCCGGCTGAAAAGGGGAGGCCGTCCTTTCCCCTAATTGCCGGGTTGTCAAATAGAGGCTGTGCGAGTACCTCCTCTCTCGTTGTCGGGGTGATCCATTGTTTCGGACCTACCCTTTTCCACGCGTTGAGCACGTCTTGCCAGAACGGAGAGGAGGATCGTCTGCGGAGGAATGATTCCATCATACAGCACGTCCAAACATCTTTGGGGTGAGATAGGTTCCAATCCTTTGCCAGGGACTGCTCAGCCAAAAGTACCCAGTGATCACCGGAGGTATCAGAGATAGCTTTAATAATCCATTTCGCTAGAAGTGTTGCGTTCTGGTCCGTTGGATCGAGTATTCCCAGACCGCCTTCGTTACGGGGGTTGCATGTTAGCTCCCAAGCTACTTTGGATATGAAACCTTCGTTGTTTTTTGCGAAAGGCTTCCAGATAAATCTGGCTGCTGCTCTTTTGACGACTTTCAACAGTTGTCGTCCCAATGCTCTGATTGTACCAACATACCACAATAATGCAAAAAGTGCCACGTTCGTGACTAGGGCCCGACCAAACAGTGACAGATGTTTGGCCAGGCACCATACTGCGATTCTTTGCAGAATCTTCTGCTGGAGCAGGTTGTTTTGAACTTCAGCACATTGCCCTAGGGTTACTTGCAGCCCTAGGTATCTTTCCGAGGAATCATCCCCCACTCTTTTCATACCCCATTCTACCGCGAGAGTGTATCCACGGGGAAGGAAGTACACAAATTTCGACCAGTTTACTGCTGCTTCGGACAGGTTCGCATACTCCATCAGGCAGGACTTCAAGGCCTGCAATGAATCTACCGTGTTGCCTGATATAGCTATGAGGTCATCTGCGAGGGCTTTTACACGGCATTCAGTCTGTTGCACCGGTAGTCCGCTGATCTGAGGGTGAACTCTAATATTGGTCACCAGAACTTCCAGCTGCAGTACGAAGAGGAGGGGGGCTAGGGGGCAGCCTTGCCTCAACGATCTGGTCAGGGGGAAGGTGGGAGAGATGTAGCCATTTACTGTGACCGATGTCGTGGAGTAGACATACAGCACAGAGACCCAGTGACAGAAGTTTTGGCCAAACTGCATGTGCTTCAATGTTGTCAGTACGTAAGACCAGTTTACTCTGTCGTAGGCCTTCTCTAGGTCTAGTAGGAGTACAGCAACATCCAGATTCTCCTGCTGAATCCATTCTAAGGCCTCAATTGCAGTTACTACATTGTCAAAAATTGATCTGCCTTGCACAAAGGCCGCCTGATCCCGCCCTATCAGCTCTGGTAAATATCTGCCTAGTCTATTGGCTAACAGCTTAGCTAGGATTTTATATGATACATTTAGGAGGGAAATTGGTCTCCAGTTCCGGATGTCAGCTTTGTCCTTTTTTTTGTACGTAACCGTGATTATGCCGTGTGTCATCCCCTTGGAAAGTCTACCACCAGTAATGGCCCCGTTGTAGATTTCTACTAGGTGTGGAAATAGAGTGTCCCCGTGCTGAATATAGAATTCTACAGGAAGCCCATCCTTCCCTGGGGCCTTAACTTTGGCCATAGTATTCACGGTTGCAGCGATTTCTTCCACGGTTACCGGTCTGTCCATGTCCAATTTGCCACTCCTAGTGATTCTGACGGCTGTGTGTTCCCAATGGGAAGATTCGGATGATAGGCCTAGCTCCGGGGCCTGGTTTGGCAACCTTGAAGTGAGGATATCCTTGAAATACAGGGCTGCATAGGAGCACATGGCTCCTGATGTGGTTGCCGGTCTGGCTTCTGGTACAAAGGGGTGGCTTAGTGTTTTCATCAGTTGAGAGGATCTCCTGGGCAACAGTTTTTGAAATGCTTCCTTTGTCATTCTATCATAGACTAAGATGCCCTTCACGGTGAGTCTTTCAGCCCATTCCTCCGCGTTTTGCCTTTGTAGGTCATCCCATCTTGATAACAGGGTGCATCTCTCTGCTGCCCAAACTGAGGCCGATACAGGGTGGGACTGCATTCTGTCCTCCACCCATTCCAGGTCCCTGAGAATTTGGGCCTCTTCATTGTTCCGTTCTGCGGCTAGTATCCGTGAGAAAACACTTAACCAATTTCCTGCAATACCTGTACCTGCGTTCCACCATTCTCCCACGGAGGGGAAGAGTTGTTGGGCCTTCGGCCATTTTACGAAGAAGTTCTCTACCCAGGCCTTGAGGCCTGGGTCCTTGAGATTCTGAATATTAAGCCTGAAGTAACCAGTGCCCCGGTCCGCTGTATCCAGGAGTTGAAACGTGGCTTTAATCGAGTAGTGGTCGGACATTGGATGTCTTACCACTTCCACATTGAGGGACGCGTCCCACCACTGCGGGCTCATGAGAGCAAAGTCCAATCGTCTTAGGCATCCTGCATTTTGCCCTTCTGAAGCGGAGGAGCCCCAAGTGAACCCTGGATCTGATGGGTGCATCAGCCGGAACGCATCGCAAAGATTAAGTTCTGACATATAATCTATCAGCTCGTGCAGGTCTGGGGATCCAGCTGAGGTGCCTGCGAGGTCGTCTAGGGAGACGTTCCAGTCCCCCATGACGAGGAGGTTATCCACATCCGGCGTGTACGAGATGAGATCCTGAAAAAACAATTTCCTTTCTGCTCTGTCGACCGGGGCGTAAATTGTCATGATCGCCCAGTCTACGCCGAACGCTGTGAATTTGATCCAGGCCCAGCGGCCCCACAGATCCACATCATGATCAATGATCTGAATAGGTAAGTCTCTGTGTAACAAGATTCCTACCCCGCCCCTGGTGCTTACCGCAGGTGACCAGAGTTGAGGGCCATCCCACCACGTGCCTAATTCCCTGATCTTCTTTTCATCTAGTTTGGTTTCCTGAATGCAGATGATCTGTACCCTGTGTCTATGTAACCATGGTTTGATGCGAAACCTCTTCCCCTTCTTTGATCTGTCTCCTAATCCCCTCATATTCCAGGAGACTATGTTAATTTTATCCATTCATCCGGCTGGTCGTGACCCTGGGTTGGATGGGGGCGGGGGTAGTCTGAGGTCTCGGAACAGACGTGGCATTCGGGCGTGCCTGTGTCTTGGATGACGTGGCAGCCGCTGAAGATGGGGCCCATTTCTGGGCCAGCAAGTTTTTTAAGAAGATCGACTGCAATTGTTTGTTTCTTGGAAGCTTGTCGTTGATCTTGCTCAAAAAACCAGCGTCCCCGACATTTTGGACTCGGAGCTGCTGAAGAGACTCAGCATCTTCCTCGATGAACAGGGTAAGTGGGATCATCCGCATACCTTCGAGGAGCAGGCTCTCCATCCTATCCGGATGGATGAATGCGTTCAGCAAGGGAACAAAGACTTTGCAGGTTCGGCTGTCCTGCTCCGGATAGAATCGGGGAAGGGCCATGTTAGGGACCATCCTGAGCGGGAAACGATCTGCAAATATATGCTTAGTGCCCGTGAGAATGAGCTGCTGGGTGACTGGTTCCTCCGTTGGGAGGGACAAAAAAATGATTTTTGCATTCTCCGGTTGCCACGCAATCACATGAATTGCTCCATTCACAATTGAGCAAACCAGGGGTACTAGCCACTTCTCTATTGTGGCAGCCTGATTCTTGGACGATGTGAGAGCCCTGCGGCTTCTTGACGTTTTTACCCCTGGAAGCGGGGGGGCAGTTCCCCTGTCTGATCCGGCAGATTGGTCTGATTTAGCTGAGGTGGATGAACCCGCTCGGCTGTGTGCGGACCTCTGTGAGTTTTCCCTCATTGGGTTGTCTGAATTCGTGCCTGCTTCGATTAGTAGGGGGAGAGATCGTGAGGCGTCTGACCTTACTGTTTTCCGTGCTTTCAGGGGAGATTGGCCTTTCGTACAGCGACCCTGAGATTCGACTGCTGAGGTGGTAGCGACTTCCCCCGGGGATGAGCACAGGTTCCCTTCGTGCCGACTTCCTGCTCCTGCCTTGATAGGGATTGGCCTAATAGGCTTAGCGTTCTGCGTTCAGTCTGTCCCTGGGGGAGGGGGTTCTTCCGAGTGCATCGCTGCTGCCTGTAGCAGGCGTTGCATGGTCGGGGCCAGAAATTGGCTGTGCACGGGGGGGTGGAATTCTCTACATGGGTTCGATTGATTATCCCAGACCGTTCTCCAGTTCGGGTCGGGAAAGCTTGAGGCCTGGTTTAGCCTTGGTGAGAAGACCGGGTTGGAACGGGATACCAGACCGTTCCCGTTAACGACTCCCCTTCCTACCCCATTGGTCAAGCCATTACTGTTCCCTGTTCCACCACCCACCCGCTCATAGAGCGGATGAGGCGGTGGGGGGGGGGAGGCGCCTCTGTTACGCATCACAGAGCCGCTTGAATGCTCGTGTGACAGCGGTCCCTTGTATCTATTTGCTCCTCTGCGTCTCGTGAACGCGATGCTGCCCTCTGATTGGGAACTCAAAGACCTGGAGGATCTGTCATCCTCTTCGTCCGATAGGACGACCTGCTTCTTCTGTCCGGATCTGCCCCGTCTCCTGTTGGGATTGCTTTTCTTTCTTGTGCACTCATCTTCGGTGTGGAAATACCATCTACAGTGATTGCAATACGGGGTAGCGGCATTAGCTAACCTGACCTCCACCATTCCTCCCGTCGTCAGCCTGACCCAGAGCCTGTCTACGAATCTCTCTCTGCACTCCGGGTTTAGTTCACATCGAATGTTGAGCAGTCTGGGGTTGGGGGAAAAACGATCTGGAGAGTCCATTTTTACCACTGGGCCGATTACCTTCGTCAGAGCCGAGTGTAGATATACGTATGCGTCGAGGGGTACCTGAATTGCTAAAATCCAGAAAGTCTTTTCCAATTCGATCCTTCCGAATTCTTGCCATTCGGCCCTTGGCATCCACGCTTTGGTCTCGAAAACGTATCGCTTTCTCTTCAGCATAACTTCCCCCATTCCCTCATTGATCATCCATTCGGCCACTTCACAGTTCTTAGCTACATACGATATCACATTCGGTCCCTCGAATTTGATTCTACCCTTCTCTATGGGGGGGTCGAATATACCCTCTTTATTCCAGCCATTTTCATATGCCCGAACAATGTCCTCTTTTACCTTCCTCGGTAAGTTCCTCGCCTCATACCTAAAAATTATAACTACTGTTCTCTCCTTTAACCAACGCACTTTGATGGCATCGAATCGAGCGTCGACTGTCACGACCGCCTCATTCCCTTCGATCTCCACCTCTTCGAGTGGGATGTCCTCAGGGCACCGTCCTTCATCGTAGCACATTGTAAGCAATAATCGGACTCTCTCTTCGTATTCCTCTTCTTGTTTTTCCCTTTCTCGTTCCTCATCCCCTTCGGCCATCACCAGTTCCTCCCCTCCCAGGGTTGCCATGTTTCGATGTCACTGCCATGGGAAGAGTTGAGTTTGCGCGATAAAAGGGCTGGGGACGCGAGTTTGAGGCTATGTATCGCTCTAATGGGTTACCTCCGCGTAGTTACTACTTGCGGAGCTGCGTTCCTTTAGTGAATGGCCCTGGTCCGTGTGTTTGGATTGTCTATACCAACATGGACTCCTTGTGCCTACTCTAGGGTAATCCGTACCTAACCAGGAGTCGGACTGGGAGAGGCGATGCCGACTTTACCCTAGAGACGTGTGAGGACGGCAACGGTGAAAATGGCAGTTAATTGTCTACACGAACATCCGAGCCTAGCTCCAACTTCTCCTAGCCTAAGTAGTGTCCTTTAACTGCTATTGTACAAAACATCCCTGATCCGCACGCGAACGACTTGATCTACAAATGGAAACTGAAATCGAGAGCACAATGTACGCAGCTTCGTCACCTATCCCCCGAAAGCAAGGTAACTACTGTAATTGCGAGGGAGCGTTACCATATCCATGGCCCGGGTCGACGATTCTCCGGTGTCGAAGATGTGGCTGCTGCCTGACCTCTGGCTCCGTTGCGTAGTTGCCTTGGCGCTGGATCTAGTAAGCTGATTTGCCCGTGCGTGGCGGGCGGTAGGGGGGGAAGAAATCCTCCGGTAAGGTGCAAGGGGACAGACGTGGGAGTCACGTCGCCATGGCGAAAGCCATGGTTCGTCACCTTCACCGCGGTAATTCTCGCTCCGATAGCGAGAGAACCGCTCACCGGGTCGGTGAGAATCTGCGTAGCGCAGGAACCACCGACGGCGCAAGCCACGAGCGCGCTACCGGCGCCGTTGGCGGCGCACCCCTAAGGCCATTGATTACTTTGTAAGGGAATGAAGGAATGGTTTCCAAAAAAGAAAAAGAAAAAGAAAAAAAAAAACTACCAAGTTGGTGTGTATCGCTCCGTGTTCTATGGGGAATAAACGTTGCATAGCATTTTTCATATTTGATGATTTCTGCGGCAAGGCCGTTTGGCGCCTACGGCGCAGGCGGCCCCTGCAGCGAGGATCCAGTCCCGCGGATTCTTCGTTTCAGACGGTCGATTCGATTATTTAAGATCGACGGCCAGATACGAAGAATCTGGGCAAGTGGGTGGGAGAACTCACCGCGCCCGTGAGAGTCGGGGACACCTGCCATTCTATATGTACCCCCGCCCCCGCGGATGCGCAGGCACCCGATCGCCGGTTGCAGGGCGCAGTGTCAACCCCCGTCAGCGCGCCCGCCGGCGCGCGCACCCGACCGCCTGCCTCCCGCCCCATTGCTGTCGGCTTCACGTCGAGCGCAGGTCGGCGGGACATGGTTGGAGCTGGATGTTTGCTTTTTTTTTTTCCGTCTCTTTTTCGCCCTTGGAATTCGTTGATTGATGGTGCTTCGCCGCTCGCCGAATGTATGTGATGTGAGTGAGAAGGACAGAAAAATGACGACCGCATCTTCCCACCTTTTACGTGGACATACACGCGCCATTTTACACAGTCGGTGCGTGGTGAAGGCAAGGCCCGTTGCCTTTTTTTTTTTTTTTTTTTTTTTTTTTTTTTTTTTTTTTTTTTTTTTTTTTTTGGGACCATTTCTCGATTTATGCTAATCAATCTTCTCTGTATCGTCCCAATTTTAACGGATGTCCCGAAGGACTTGTTTTTGTTTTCGTTGGGAGGCGTTAGCTCAGTTGGTAAGGAACGCACGCGGCATTCAGGACGTCCTGGGTTCAATCCCCACTGGCTTTCTCATGGACCTTTCTACCGGTCGGCATGCTTGGCGCCCGCCACCTAGAGATATGCCGTTGGTCCCCCCAAGTGGAATTGAGCTGAGACTGCGGATGCTCATAGGGGTGGCGGGGATCGGAGGGGAGGCATAGTGACTGGCCCATCGAAGAAGAAGAAGCTCTCGGTGACTCGCCCACCTGCTGTAACAATAACAAGTATCGCACCTGCTGTAACAATAACAAGTATCGCACCTGCTGTAACAATAACAAGTATCGCACCTGCTGGTGGGTCCAGTTCCCGCATGTTCCCTCAAGGCTCCAGGTGGGTCCAGCTCCCGCATGTTCCCTCGTTGGAGCCTTGAGCACGGATGTGCCTGCAACGGAATCCCCCCCCGTTCTACTATAATGACAATAAAAAAGGCCTGAAAGGCTGTCCTCTGTCGACATTCGACAGGTAATTGAATTGGTTGGGCTAATAACCCTTATTAGAAAAAAAATAAAAAGTAAGAAAAATTCGATACGTACGCTGGGGAAGTGCCGCGCTCAACTACTCACCAAATCTGCAAAATGAGAATGAATCCTCCCCTAGAACATGGAAAGGTGCACCGCCATATTTGTAATTAGTTTTTTGTCTTCTGTGCATGTAGAGAAGCAGTGGCGCCATGCCCGAACGAACGAACGAAATTCATGATCGCTTTCGCCTTTCGCCTTCGCCTTTCGCCTTCGCCATGCATGTCGGGCCCGGGCTTTCGCTGTGTCGTGCCCGCGCTTGCACTTGTGTTTGTCGTCTTCCGCGTTTTTCCTCCGCGGTTCGATGTGTGTTTGTCGTCTTCCGCGTTTTTCCTCCGCGGTTCGAATACCCACCCCTTTGTTGTTGACGACACCATTAAATGAATGAATGAATGACCGAACGGACGAAGTGGTAGAAATAGCGCGGGCGCTTTTCGGTTCGGCGAAAAATTTCAAAGATTCGGAATTGTCGTTTCCGGTTCGCCAAAAAAATTCGAGGAAGGGCGGACAGAGCTGATTTTGGTCCGGCGAGGTCGATCGGTTGGAGCTGGAGGGAGCTGGAAAGGAGGGAGCGCGTTGGGAGGAGGAGGAGGAGGAGGAAATCACCTTTGTTCACCCGCGGGAGGAGAAGACTACCTTGTTCACTAGATAGAATATAACGTGCGGTAATTACAACTGTACTTTTGTACTTTTGGGGGCATCTTTCAGTCTAAATACAGCAATAATGACCGTACTTTGTATTCGGTCGGATGAACAAGGCAGGCTCGTCGATCGGACGGGCTGGGAACCAAGCACATATAGCAGCAGCTGTTCGAATCACCGGACGGGCTGGGAACCAAGCACAAGATGCAGAGCAGTCCACGTAATCACCGTCATGGCATTGATTGCCACGTCAATACATTCCTTCTCCCCTTTTAAAGAGTCGATCCTCGAATCTGTGGCTTGACAGATTGCACATAAACTTACTCGGCTAGCTTCTGCTTCCAATTACTTCACATGTACCTGTTGGCTGCTCTCTCTCTCTCTCTCTCTCTCTCTCTCTCTCTCTCTCTTTTTAACCGGCTTCGATTGACACACTCCTTTGCCGCGTCAGCACATTTGTCACGTCAGCACTTTTGCCACGTCAGCACATTTGCCACGTCAGCACATTTGTCATGTCAGCGCTTTCCCCACGTCAGCACATTTTTTTTTAGCTGTAGCTCCAGAGAAAGAGGCATCTGTGGTCATCGGGATCGAGATTGATGGATTTTAGTTGATGCGCAGTGGAAGAGGCGATCGTTAGTATGTGCACACGAAAGCTAGTGTGCTGTGGATATTGAAGCACTAGCGGGGGGGGGGGGGGGGGGGGGGGGGGGCGGGGGGGGAATGGGGAAGGGTTCCCCAGGCTCTCGGCTCGTGTTCGTTCTTCTAGTACCATCCCCCCCCCGTGTTCTTTTTCTGTACCTGAGCTCTTTATGATCAGATAGATTCCGCCGTGAAAATCCTGACACGTGTTCGTCTCACACGACTAATTTCGGGCATTCAGTCATCGTCGTCCTCCGAGATCTTGTTGGCCAGCAGCAAAAGATCCATCGACGTAATTATACTACGCGGTCCGTTCTCCCTCTGCCCTTGAATCCCTTTGTTGTTCTCTTTCGTTTTCTTCGTTCTTTTTTCTTGATTCTTTGTCCCCCCCCCCCCTTCCCCTAACCCTCTCCCCCCCCCCCCTCTCTCTCTCTCTCCCGTCGCTGTATTTGCTTTTCTCTCTTTCCACTTCGTTTCCTCGTTTGTTTTTTCCCTCTCTTCTGTCTTTCTCTCCCTTCTCCATTCGTGTGATCTAATCACCGTTACTCTCTCTCTCTCTCTCACTGCTTGTCTCCATCTCTGTTCGCTTTCTCTTTCTATATCTTTCGTTTCTATATTTGCCTCAATCTCTCTCTCTCTCTTCCTCTCCCTCTATTTCATTAGCTTTTCGAATTTTGTTATTAGTTTACCTCTATATCTGGGAAAATTCGCGTTTTGCCCCTGGCCTAAACTCTTACTGGCACCAGAAATCCGCAATTTTTTTTTTTTTTTTCTATTGTCAGCAGCAACAATCTTTTGATGTCTTGTACGCCAACCCGGAATGTTTGAGAAGATAGGATTGGGACTGGGAAGGGAAGGAGAAGGAGGAGGAGGAGGAGGAGGTCGCAGAACCGAGGAGCAGCGATGACGATGTTGTCGATGGTTGAGATAGAGACTTAAAATGATGGACGGCATTTTGGCATTTGGCTGTGGATCGGCTTTAAGCGTCTCTTCCGCTGCCTAGGAGAAGTGCATGTTCAGCAAGCGACAAATCTTGGGGTCAAAATGGCGTGAGGAAGAAAGGGTCAGGCCGGCGACCGACGACACGACAGTCGACAAACAAGGGGACAAAGCAGAAATTTTGCTGTTTGGAAAAACGGGGAAATAAGATTTTCCGTTATTGTTATATGCCTTGGTGATTTGATCTGGGGAGAGAGAGGTGTGTGGCGGTGTGTGACAGCGGGCGAGCGAGCGAGCGAGCGAGCGAATCACTCGGAAAGTGGCGCGCAACGGACAAAAGCACAGCCAAGAGGGAAGGACAGCCAACAGGCGAAGCGGGAAGGAGGGCAGGGAGCAGTGCGTACTTTTTTTTACTTTTATTTTTTTTATTTTAAGAGTGCACTTTGAGCGAACGAGTAGAAAGCTCGGGCAAGTCAAGTATGTGTGGAATTTTTGGTTCGAAAGAGGCGGCCGTATACGGGCGCTCTTCCCGCCAAAAAAACGCGGTCGATGAGTGGTGATTGTGATGATGTTGATGATTTTGACGACTTCGATAATTTTTAATGATTTTGATGTGGTTTTGATGATTTTTTTTTAATGATTTTTTGTAATGATAGACTACTGTAAATTGAAAGGAAACGCTCGCGACGTGTATAAGTGTGTGTACCTTTCAACGTCTCCCCGACGCAGAGGCTGGATTTACCGGGAGGCCCGTCGTTTTTTCTTAAATTCTTGTCTTTTTCTTTTTTTTTGCCCGCTGGTTTTCAGTTGGGTGATAGGGGATGGAGTGATTGATTGCGCGGGAAAGCGAGCTACCTAGTTGGCGGGGAAAGTCTCCCCGACGCAGGCTGGTTTTACCGGGAGGCCCGTTCGTTTTTTCTGAAATTCGTTTCTTTTTCTTTTTTTGCCCGCTGGTTTTCAGTTGAGTGATAGGGGATGGATTGATTGATTGCGCGGGAAAGCGAGCTACCTAGTTGGCGGTAAAAAAAAAAAGAAAAAACGAAAAGATGTGGGGAAATGAGCTACCTGGTTGGCGAGAAAAAAAAAAGGAAAAAAAGAAGACGCGCTGCCTAATTGCCGAAGTGTCACGAGAAAGTTCCGAAAAGGCTCCAGTCAGCGCGCGAAAGCGCGGGAACCTTTTGGCGGGAAGGAGGACGGAAAGGGGTTTTGCTTGTCTTGTCCGTGGCGGCGTGTCGAGGTCCACCAGTGAGTTGTCCGAGCGATCGCGACCCCGACCCGCTGACGTGGATCAGAGAGTGAAGAGTTAATCGGCATCGTGTATCGCTGACGTGTACCCAAGAGTTTTTTTTTTTTTTTTTTGTAACCAGAGCGCGGAGCAATTTTCGAGAACCGACCGATCATCACTCGCGGAGTCGGGGGCCGCGGCGGGGGCGGCCTGACTGAAAGACGAGGAGGATCGGGGTCGGGATCCGGCAAAATCTACAGTAGTGGTGAAGAATCAAACGCCTGTCGTCGGAATTTAAATGCGTGAGGGGGTGGGCTGAAAGGGGCGGTTGGAGGAGGGAGGGGGCGGAAAAGCGGGGAAAGGTCGGGGGAAAAATGGGACTGGGCCCGGACATGGGACCAGTAGAGAGCTACTACGTAAGGAAGCACGAAGGTCGATCTCGAGAACAAGACACGTTCGTAAGACGGCGGGAAAGACGGACTGACAGCGAGGATCGACCTTCCTCCTCGTCTTCCTCAGTCTTTACCTCCACTTTGCTGTTGCCATCGTTACCGTTGTCATCATCCTCTTGCTCGTCGTCTCCTTCCATCGTAGTCTTCATCTTCGTCTTTGTCGCCATCGCCATCGCCATCGCCATCGCGGTCGGTAGAGTTGAAGAAGCATCGGGAGCTTCCACGTCATCGTTGGTGGAAACCTTGGACGATTGAGAGCTGCGATTGGAAGAGAGAGAGAGAGAGAGAGAGAGAGAGAGAGAGAGAGAGAGAGAGAGAGAGAGAGAGAGAGTAGAAGAAGGTCGGGGTCGCGATCGCTAAAAGAGTAGGTACTAGGTGGTGGTGGTGTCGGAGGGTGTGCTTTTTTTTCAAATTTTTTTGTTGTTGTTGTTGGGGTTCTTGGGGCCGGGGGATGGAAAAAATGGGGGGGGCGGAGACGGGTTCATCCGACTTATTGGGGCCGACGACGGCGGGCAGTGCAAGGGCAGGAAGGAAAGGACGGATGCTGGAGAGCGTGATGGAAAGTGCTGGGGGAATCGGCGTTGGCGGCGGCGGGGGGAGCGGGAGCGGGAGCGGGAAAGAAGATAGTCTCAGTAGCTCGATTAGCGCGATTAGCGCGATTAGCGCGATTAGCGCGATGAGTAGTGGGAGTAATAAGAAGGAGAGGGAGGGTAGTAGCAGCAGAGGGGTGGTGAAGACACGTGGCGGGAGCGGATTGGAGGCTGTGGCCGCCGCATACGCCAAGGAGAAGGAAAAGGGCGGGAAAGTTCGAATTCAAAACGTGGGCGGCTCGCTGACGTTTCTTTTGCAATTTGCCTTGCTGGCGTGGGGAGTGCGGCAGCTGCGGAGTGTGCTGGCCAAGCGGAGGTCGGCGGCGCAAAGAGCCGCGCATCTGGGCGGAAGCTCCGCCCCTGCTTTTGCCAACATCAGTCCCGCCGCCTTGAAGAGACTCGTGGAGACCAACCCCACTGCCTACTCTCTTCTCGACGTCCGCGCAAGGAACACGGCGGCGGCCAATCCGGCGCCATTCAAGAACGTAATCAACTTGCCAGAGCAGGACGTGCGCGCCATTTTGTCGTTACCAGAGGCGGCTTTGGAGCGAAGATTCGCGCCAGCTAGGCAGCCGTTGAGGAGGGAGGTGGTGGTGTTCCTGTCGACACGTGGGCGCAAGGCGCAGCAGGCGGCGGTAGTCGCCGCGTCGCTGGGGTACAGCCGATGCTGCGTTTTGGCGGGAGGCCTGGTTGGGTATCAAACCTTTCTGGCAAGCATGTCCCAACAGCGGCAGCAAGAAGAAGGAGAACCAGGAGCAGGAGGAGGGGGAGGGGGAGGGGGAGGGGACGGGGGCGGGGCCGGGGGAGGGGGAGGGAAGAGTTCGTCTAGTGCTTTGAAGTTTATAAATAGAGACGCGTTAGCGCTGCTGTTGGCAAGAAATCGGGCGGCGGAGAGGGGGGGAGGTGTCAGAGTTGGGGGGGGAAGAGGAGGAGGGGGAGGAGGGGGCCGGGGTGTGGAGATTGCGAAGCTGGTGGATTTGCGCCGACACGACGAACGCGCGCTCTATGGGTCCATACCCGGCTCTCTTCACCTTCCTGTCGACCAGTGGCCCCGAGCTTTGGCTATGGATGCCGATGCTTGGCAGCAAGCGTTCCATTTTTCCAAATTAGGAAAGGAAGATCTTGTCATTCTTCAGTGTCGGGATGGTACCAGAGCCATGTGGGCTGCCCAGCTCGCTCTCGATGCGGGCATGAAGAGGTGTTTTATCTACCGCCAAGGAGTAAATGGATGGCTTCTCGACGAGTCCGTATTACCTTACGACGGATACGAGGAGGAGGAGCCGCCTCCTAGTCCGATCTCTTTTGAGGTGGAGCGGGTCAACAAGGTGGTTGGGGAGAAGGAGCTTCGGGCTATGGAGATCCTCGTGTAGATTTTTATTTTTTTTTTAATGTTTTAATTGTTTTTTCTTTTTACAATGTGTTTTATGAACTTGTTTCTCTCCCTTGTAAACTGCATCATTTCATTACTGAAATTTTACCAATTAATTAAAACCAATCAATTAACCATCTCTCTCCCTTTTTCCCGCTCAAAAAAGGGTTATTTTCCCTTTTGGTTTCCACAGCCTTTTGTTGCATTCTTTCTCCCCGGGCGCGGGTCCGTCTTCAACTTCGACTTCCTCTTCTTCTCTTCTGAGCACATCTCCCTCCATGTGCCCACCATTGCGAAGTGAAGAAAAGGTTCACTATGTTGCCTTGTTGTCCTCTTCTCCCTCTCTGCCTACGGTTTGCCGGGCAGCTCTGTTTGACGATATATATATATAATAAGGATAGGATTCGAGTACCTTGTTCACTCCGATTAGAACGCACGGTCGTTATACAGCTCTATTTGGGGAAACTTTCAGTCTATAGAATGCATCATCAGCGATAATGACCGTGCGTTCTATTCGGGTGAAGACCGTAGGTGAGTGCCCTGTCTGTTGAATTAGTAATAGGGGCCAGGCTCGTGTCGTCGAAGGCTGCATCCTTATTATTTTACTCGATCCAAGTCGGGATCGCAGTCTGACTGTGGTGCATGGCTGCAAGCATGCAAATCTTGTACGTTCAAATGCAAAGGGAACGCACAAGAAAGACGAGTGAGAACACAGAGAGAAGGGGAGAGAGAGAGAGAGAGAGAGAGAGAGAGAGAGAGGGGAGGGGGCGGTACGAGAGGGAAGGACATGAAGAGAGCAAGGAAGGGGGCTCGGGGAAAGAAGGGAAGGAGAGGAGGAAAATAACAGGAGAAGCCAAGGAAAGAAGGAAAATGAAGGGGGATAAGTAAGGAAGGGAGGTGTGTGTTTATGAAGATACTGTGAAAGAGATTTACTCGTATGCTAACTAATGAGGTGTGTGTTTGTGAAGATACTGTGAAAGAGATTTACTCGTATACTAACTAATTAGTATACTGGGATTACATGTATGATGGGGTGAAGGCAGTGACCCCTGTTTTCTGAGCCTAGATTGGTGCACGTCGATGACGGAATGACACGTGGAAGAGGTTGAACTTGTAGTTATTTGGATTTCATTTCCTTTTTTTTTTCGGCGGAGGAGAGAGAGGGAGGGAATTAAAGGAGAGAGGTATAGGTGTTGGAGACCCTTTTTTCGTTTGGTGTGTTTTCTAGCCCGGCGTAGTGTATGTGAAAAGCCTTCAGTACCGGGGTCCCGACGTGAATGCCTTGGGAGTTATGCAGAGACCGGTAATATTGAGAGGAGCCAACAGGTAATAGAGAAGGGACAGGCTGACGTTTACTTGGCCTGGCCTTCTTGCTGTGCTGGGATTTCTTCGCCCGTACGAACTCGGGGGAACTCGGGAAAAGGATAGGTGAGCGGCGGTGGTGGGCTATATATATCACAAGAGCAGCTGAGGTTAATAGTTTTGTTGTCTTTTTTTTGTTTTGTTTTGTTTTTCACACCCTCGCCCTCTCCCCGTTTGGAAATTGAATAATTGAAATGGCTCGTCAGTGCCAAGCTGGAAAATGTTTATTCTTCTTTTTACCCAGCATCATTTTGTGCTTTTAATCTTATATTAATCTCCCTTGCCGATGTCATAGATCTTATCTACATCTTTATCAGTCAATCAATCAATGACTCAATCACTCACTCACTCACTCACTCACTCAMTCAATCAATCAATCAATCTGTCGATTAATCAATCAATCAATCAATCAGTCAATGAGAGTGGATGGGGAGGAGGGAGAGAAGGGAGGAAAGAAGTAAGTGAAGTGGTATGCGTCGAGCTGACTTGTGCTGCCTTCCTATTATCACCCGTATGGTGCCTCTCAAGTTGTACACGTATCTTTGGAATTCGTTTCCTCTGCATGTTTGTTTTTGTGTCTGTATGTCTATACATGCATGCATGTATGTACGTGCTTTTTTTGTGTTCCTCCGTGTGTATGCATGCATGTATATATGTTTGTATATGTGCATGCATGCATGTATATATGTCGGTATGTGTGCATGCATGCATGCATGCTTGCATGCATGCATGTATTTACGTGTTTTGTGTATGTACATGCCTGTGTGTGTTTCCATGTTCGCTACACACAACACAAAAAAAGCATGTCTGTGCCAGATTGTTTCCTCCGACTTTCATCCACTCATTAGGTTCACCCTGCTGACGAGTCGGTGAAAGTCCCATCACAGTCTTGTGTACGTATGTATGTGTTATGCATGGCATGCATGCATGCATGCATGCATGCATATAGAATTGGCCCTTTCCTTTCTTCACACATGTACATTTCCTGTAGATATCTACAGGAAATGTACATGTGTGAAGAAAGGCAATGACCTTTTTTTTTTTTTTTGCCTTTGCGCTTTGATTCAGTGTCACAGCCCCTCGTTTCTTGTCCTCTTCTCCCTCTCTGCCTACGGTTTACCGGGCAGCTCTGTTTGACTACAAAAAAAAAAAAAGAAAAAAAAAAAAAGATACGTTGATCTGTGGGATGTGTTATTTTGCTTTGTGATAATTGGATTATCTTTCTTTCCCTATCTTTCTTTCCCTGTCAGGTTTGGTTTCCTCCTCCCCTTCTTTACCTCTTTGCCTTTTGGCTGCGTGCAAGTGGGTCCTTGTGACACACGGGGATGGGGGCAGCCAATGCTCAACCTGTCATCCACGTGGCTGGCCTTGTACGTAAGAGGTTATGAACAGGTGGAGCTTTCCTTACCTCTTCCCCCT